GGGTCATGGTGAGCTGGAGGTACCTGGTTTAGAGCCTGAGGAGCCAAGGAGTCAGGTGGGCTAGGGCAGAGCAGGTTGGTCAGGCAGCAGGGCTCAGGTGAAGCCCAAAGCTCAGGTATTCTATGTTAGCTGGCTTTGCCCCATCTCAAAGGCAAGACAAATGCAAAGGTCATCCCACTACGGCCCCGTGGGAGTGGGACACCAAGTGGCAGGGGAGAGCCATTTGGAATTTAGGGGCACACGGTGCTGGCTCTTTGCAACCCCATTGCCCCTCGTGGGGCAGAGTGTGCTGAGCTGTAGTGGACGGGTCCTCAGGTTGCAGCTTCTTGTTTTCCAGCCATGGTGGGGTGTGCTGTGTTCTTTTCAGTGTCACTGTTCCGCCGGATGCTCGTTCTTTCTCAACCTCTCTTTTACCCCGAGGTCTCAGCTGGTGCCTGTTTTGATGGAAACGTCCCTGGCCTCCTGCCCAGATGCATACTGCAGCCTGTGCCCTGACCCGACGTGGCTTAAACGTGTTCTGTGTCCCTTAGAACCCTCTCTGGTTTTCTCACTTTTCTTTTGTTTTGTTTTGTGCATGTGCAGTTTTGTAAAGCACACTCGAGGTGCTGCATCTCACAGCTCATCTGTCTCCAGCGTAAACTCACCGTGAGTTGCTCGGCTATGACACCATCTGTGGCTTCATGGCAGCTGCACGCGAACCTCCCTCCACTCCTAACTGCTTTTCCACCTCAAATCACTCCCCTCAGGGGCAGCTCCAGGAAAGCCTTCTGAAGCTGCTGGGGGATGATGGGCATGATTCCTGACGTTCCCAAGTCCTGCTCACAGGCATCAGACTCTGAGTTCAGCCCCTCCCCCTCTCCCTCCTGGTCCTCTTGTCTGTGTGTCCACGTGCCGTCTCTCTGGCGTCTTGAGCATGTATCTGCTTCTCCTGAGGTGGCCGTTGCTGGGCACCAATGGGTGCTATCTCCTTGTGGTTCCCACGAGGTAGGGTGTTCAGTAGGACTCGCTGAGGACATTCAGGGGTCCTCCTGCCCCCTCCCTTTTTGACTTGGGAAGGGATGTATCTGTGATCCTTAGGAAGTTGTCCTAGCAAGAGCAGAGCTGCTGTCTCGTGTTAGACCAGCCAGAGCCTGTGTAGAGCCACAGAAACCCCAGTGTGTCCCTCTTGGAGGTGACACCAGTCTGACTGGGGAAGTGGTCTTGGGATGCTTGCCTCCAGGGGTTTCCTCTCAAGGGCGAGACCAACTGCTGCAGGTGAGAAGTCCCTGGAGTGGTTGGGTGTGGTCAGCCCGCCTGGATGGGGGTAGCCAGGTGTCTTCTCTGGGTCCCAGTGGTGTGGGAGCTCTTGCCCACCCTGAGCCACTTGCTCCCTACTCAGCCAGCATAGACCCAAGGTGGGCTTGCTCACAGGCAC